TTTTTTGGCGGGATGGCTCGCACATAATGTCCACACTACCTGAAAGATGTCACTAAAAATAGGTGTCCTGAGGAATCACACTCGTCTCTGTGGCTTCCCTAGGCAGTAAAAAAAAAGGTAACGCTTCCTTTTACAGTCCTGTTACCCATGTACTTACTATGTACTTATTATAGTAATTACAATTACTGGGTAATAACTAGGTACTAACCCTGAACCTACCCCTAAACCTACCCCTAACCCATGTACTTACCTTATATTAGCCAGTACTTTCTAGGTAAGTACACTGTAAAGTACACGTAAGTACTGTACTGTAAAAGGAAGCGTTACCAAAAAAACAGAAAAAGGTCTGAATCAGCCAGTCTAAAACGATCTCTTTCTTAAAACCTTTTTGCACATTAAAGTTTGCTGATAGTGGGTTGGATGACTTATCTCTGGCAGAGGTATTTAAAGTCAACATGTAATCAAAATTGACTTATTTATTTTCTTGATGCACACATTCCTGGTCTAATTGTGCATGTTTTTCTGGATAAAAAAAAAGTTTAATCCTTTGTCTAAGTATTACTTGCTCTGCCTTCTAAACTACTTTGCATTTCAGATTGTCATAAATGCCTATTTCTTTTCAACCCCTACCCTCCAACTTCATAGACAGACATTAGTCAGGTTAAGTATAATAACCGACAAGTCTGATTTCTTTTGTCTATTAGACACCATATTGAATTTAACGCAGATGAAAATGAGACTGCGAGTGATAGACGTACAGTCTTCTTTACAAGGCCATTCACTGTATAAAGGTCCTAAATCATGTAATTTTCACAACTTTTAACTTTTGTGGAGTTTTTATCTACTGAAAGACGTACAATCGTCAGCTGAACAATCCGATTGTTGTTAAACAGCAGTACAATCCACTGAACACAATGTATTTCTATCATCACAGCCTCGTTTTCATTCCTGTCAACAATTTAATATGGCACTACTCTGACTAAGGTCTATTATGGTAATGTAACAATTCTTTGTCCATTCAGTTTCTGAAAGATATAATCAAGTCTTGTCCTGCATCACCCCCCCCCCCCCCCCCCCCCCCCTCTATTTTTGAAATATGTTGGATTACAGAATACAAATATCTTTGAATTGCATTTCATGTTTACTTTAATGCATACATTAAAAGATCAAATATAATGTTTTTTCCCAAGGCAGAGGCAGATGTTCCTCTCAGTCTCGCAGTCAGAAAAGGCAGATTAGCACTTTAGATCTGGAAGTTTTTTACCTCAAAGTTGTTAGGTGAACTCTTCAGAGACTCTTCGCTCTGCTATCAAGCCATTTTAGTTCTAAACTATTGTGGTTTCATGGAAATGCACATTCTGGAGTGCATAAAGCCCGTCTGTTGGCCGTGTAGTGTTCATAGACCACAGTGCTGGGGTGAGATAGCAGTTTAGCAGAAGCATATTTATGCCATCTGCCAGTCTTTAAACATGCAGATCTGCTCTGAACATTCAGCCATACAGCAGCTCTGCTGTCATGTGTCTATTTTTCACTCTGGCTTCTGCCTTTTTCAGGTTTTTGAATAATGTGCTTGATTTGGAGTTTCTCCAAGTTAATGCAGTTCTTTTTTTCTCCCTCTCGCTCTCTTTTTGGGTTGTGTAGTCAGTGAGTTTAGTTGAGGGAGGCACAGGGCTAATTTAGACACTGCTTGCTCTGAAAATCACATAATGACATCCTGAAAAGAAAGCGAGAAGGCCACACCAGAGCCTGTGGTTAACACAGATCTTTTCCAGACAGCACTGGGCCCATCCTCCTCCCTCTCGCTGTCCTCCCCTGCCTTTACTGCTTAGTATTCAGGGCCCAAAATGAACACTCACTTAGTGCCAATATGTTTTGGCTTTGGCGAGTAAATAAAACTGGCCGGTAATTTTAGGAAGGAACTGCAGCGTAATAAATTCAATGCAAATCATCTTAATCAGTTTACATTATTTTTTTTAACCATCCTTTAGTCATTTGATGTAAGGTACAATATACATTGAAAATACAGTATATAGTTAATTAAATTATTTCATTTTTTGTCCTAAATGATCCAGCTTTTTGCTTTGTTAAATTTATCTTGTTTTAGGGATATTTGTCTGGAAAACATGACAAAAATAGTGATTTAAGAAAACCTTTGCTGTGTCTGACCCTTGTTGTTTTTATATAAAATAATATAAAATAAAAAAATTTGTTACATATGTACATTATTTTAATATCTACATATGTTTTAACATATGAATTGGTAATTAAATAAAAAAAAATTATGTATATACAGTATGTATATATATATATATATATATATATATATATATATGTTTGTGTGTATACAGTATATATATATAGTTTTGTAATTTATTTACATATACTTCTATAGATTGATAAAATAATGCACATTTTAGTTACCAATGCCATTATAGTGTGGAATAGAGTACATTTTTATAACTTTGTTAGCATGTAGGCCTACTTGTGTGTTTTCAGTGTGCATGCATGACAGTTGTTTGCTTCTGTGTGTTGGTGTGTGTTAAGGACGCATTAAATCCCATCTGTTGCAGCAGTACAGTATGTCAGTTTGCTGCTTCTGGGACTCGTGTGGGGCTCTCTGTGCCTGCGAGGGTGGTATTATTCTGTCTTGTTGGAGTTCTCAGTGTGAACATGCCGCAAAGGGCCCTCATGTTCATGCAATGTGAGTCAGTGTGTGGAGCGCTTGCATATTATCTGGTGGCAGAGAGAAAACACTGCATTTTCACCTCAGATTCCCTGAAGCGCAAGTAGGGAGTCAGAGCTCTGGTGCTCATTTCTGACCCACCAGAACAAGATACATACTGTAGATAGATGGATAGATGGGGGTACATTTAGACCTGCTATTTGTATTATTTTGCAAAGTTATTGAACATTTTTAGATGCATTTCCCAGCAATGATATTATTTTTGACCCTGAAAAGCCATTATTGCAAAAATAAATATGGTAAAAATGGTAATCATTCTGAATGGAATAAGGTAATTGTGCATTCTCATTTTCTTTATTTTTACATTTAGGTTTATTTTTACATCTATGGCTCTCTTAAAGTTAATCTTTGAAAAATATTTGCGTCTTTAAAAAGCTTGATGCTGGTCTCTATTTACTGCCATTGTATGGACGAGAGTGAGCAGGACATTTTTTTTTTTTTCTCCTTTTGTGGTCCATAAAAGAAAGAAGGGCATATGACATTAGAACATCACCAGGATGAGTAAATGATGACTCAATTTTCGTTTTAGGGTGAACTATCCCTTTAATACTTTCCCTTTAAAACTAGTCTGCCAGAATGTCTGCTATTCTGATACTGATTGCACACCATGTTAACAACGTAGTACTGTTTTATAGGGGATAACGGATAGAGGATAAACACACCAGTAAACCAGTAAATATGCCCATCTTTTCTTTTCTGATTTTTCTAGGATAGTTATTAGGCTACTGTAGGCACTCTTTATAACTCTATCACTCACACAAACAGTCCCAAAAGCTGATGGGAATATAGAGTTGTTCAGGTTTATCTGGAACCAAAGCTACAGTCATAAGTTCATTATTCTCCATAATAAAGACTTGTTGAAGCGGCTATGAATGGAGTTGAGCAGAGGTGACTTGTGTCAGAGCTGCTGTCATACACTGATAACTAGAGCTCTTTATTTAGTTCAGACCTGTGGAGATGTTCTCTTGTGCCTCCATCAGAATGATGCAGTGAAAATCTATGTCTTTTTTTATGTCCATTGAGTGTGTGAAGGAGATAAATGGTCTGTTTCAAAACCTATTGAGGTGCCTTGCTGTTTACAGTCTATAAAGGCAACTTTCTTCTAAGGCATCTTAAATATAAATGTGACTGATTTGGACAGCTTGCTTTGTCATCAAACAGCACTCCTTACAATTGATTTCAATAGAATTTGGTGTTAGCATGTGCTAAGCTAATGACATTATACACAGAAAATACAAATATTGGGTAAAATATTTTTTTATTTAGATTAAACTTATTTCTTGTAATATTTAATTTACTTTTTACTTTATTTGTTTGTTTGTTTGTTTAATTAGGGCAACTTACAATAGATATAGTACGTCTCAATGAGAAAAGATACAGACCATATGCCTGAAACTTTCCAAAATCCTGGTCCTAAAAGACTGACCAACCCTCTCCACATAGTGTACAAACATGAGAAATGTTTGAACTTATTTTGTCTTTCTTTCCGCCTATCTTTCTGCATTGAGGGGTTTGCGTTCAAAAGTTTGGGGTCAGAAAGTTATTTTTTTATGGATGCACCGATATGAACATTTTGGCCGGTACGATAACCTATAAACTTTATATTTGAAAGCCGATAAATCTAAATTTTTTATAATTTTTGAAAGCCGGATTACAAAAACTTTATTAAATTGATCCAAAATGACAGTAAATACATTCAAATACTTCAAAAGATGTCAAATAAATGATCTTCTTTTGAAATGTATATTAATCGAACAATCCAGAAAATGTTTTTTCAACATTAATTAGAATAAGAAATGTTTCTTGAGTATAAGATCAGCATATTAGAATGATTTCTAAAGGGTCATGTGACACTGAAGACTGAAGTAATGGCAGCTGAAAATTTAAAGCATAATAAGCCTTCATGCCGGCAGCCTAACAGTACGCCTGTGTTTGCAAAGTGAGAGAATTAAGGGTTTTGCAGTCTATATGTGTGCCATTCAGCACTAAATGTGTGTGCTGTAGTGAAGGCCTGTCTCTGTGGTGTGTCCAGGTGTGTGTGTGTGTGTGTCGTACACAGTTGTACGCTGATTGCCTAGGTTGCGATCTCATTAAAGAACTAATGAGCTCATTCTGTGTGTTAGCAACACATACTCCCATGTGTTCTTCCTCCCAAATTTATACAGATATTTTCTTTATCAGTTACAGCCTTAAAACATTCACTTATTATATGTATATTTTTTGCAGCTAACAGTGTTTCCTCATGATCTGTTTGCAGGTGTTTATCACACTGAGAGACTCTTCCGGGCCCTGAAGCCTCCTCCTAGGTACGCCACCAATCATCACTGGAGTACCACCACCTAGACAGGTACCAGCCAATCCCTGCAGCACATCTCTCTCATGACCAACACAGCAGACCTTATTACGACTCCGCACACATTACAGTAACATGTCTTATGCAGCACCTCTGATCCTTTATATATATAATATACATATAAAAATGTCTTTCTTCTGCTGAACACAAAGGAAGATATTTTGAAGAATGTAACCAAACAGTTGATGTACCCCATTGACTTTCATAGTAGGGAAAAAAAACTATATGAAAGTCAGTGTGTGATTCACTGTTTGGCTTTGTGTTCAGTAGAAGAAAGAAATTCATACAGGTTTGAAACAACTTGAGGGTGAGTAAATGATGAAAGAATTTTCATTTTAAAGTGAACTATTCCTTTAAGGCAAGTTAGTCCACTCGACAGCCATTTTGGCAACAGCCCCAGGCAGTTATTTCTTATGCAGTATAAATATATATTCTATGTAAGCAATATATAAAATGATAATAGAGAACTCCTTCCCTTTTAGGGATTGTGGTTCAATTTTACATTTTTGCGTGCTTGTGATTTCAGACACACTAATTCTTTTCTTACTTAATATACGTATATAGCAGTTGGACCCTGTCCAAAATGCCGCCCTCAGCCCTTGTATTTCAATTCCAAATTTTGGTGACATGATGCCACATAGGTGATAGTAGTCCGTGGTGATGTTTGCTCCAGTGTGGCCCCAAAGGGGGTGTTTATGAGGACCCTTCTGAATAATACAGTGGCAAATGGGATATCCTACAGCCTTTTGGATCTCACAAACACGTTTTAGGGAAGGTCACAAGTCCATTTCAGATGGGCTATAGACAGTGCCCTAGTCTCAGAGTCAGGGTGCATTTTATCAGTCCAGTGGGAAACAGTGAGTCATGTTTACAAGTTCCCATGCTGATACAGTCTTATATCTGATTTCATATGTGATTGATAGATTTACATGTTGGCCAGACAGCTTTATCCTGTCCAGTCTGATGTCTAATTCACACTGCGCTAAGAAAACGATATTTTTTGTTTGTTGGGTCAGTGTGAAGCAGCCTTTAAAGGAATATTATGGGTTTAGTACAAGATAAATTGACAGTGCTTACCTCTTTTTCTTAAAAAAAGAGCAACATTCTGGGTTACACTAAAGCACTTACAATGGAAGTGAATTGGTACAATTCGTAAATGTTAATGTTTCAGTGTTATTTTTCTATTATTTATATACTATTATAGTATTTATCAATATTTTGAGCTTTTTTTTGGTTTGTTTTAGTAATTTTGTTACTTGCTTTTATATACAGTATATATTTGAAATATTTCTATTTAGCTTTAAATTATTTTTTATTATTTTTAAGTTTTTCATCTAATATTCAAATATTTTCTTTTATGTCAACTTTATTTCAATTAACAAAGATAAATTGTAATAGTTTTAGTTAACAATAACAGTATAGCCACAAGATGTAAAGAATATGTAATTGACTTTTTTCCTATAAGTCATCCTATAAGTTCCTTGAAGTAATATCCAGTTGCTTCATTGCCATGACCACATAACCTTTAAACTTTCAAACAACTGTAGAAATGACAATAACAACTTTACAGCTCAAGTATTACACACATTTCAACCGAAGCAGTGCTTGTATAAAAATTACAAGCTTCACATTTCTGTATTTAAATACAGAGCAATTATACCCCATTTACTTACAATTTTTTGCAGAAATCAACATTGTATCAAGAAGGCTGTTGATTGTATTGAACCTGAAATACTCCTTGAAGTGAGCTTCTGCAGTGTAGAGTAGACTATGATTATCAAATGTCTGGCTATTCAAAACTGCCTAAGATCCACATCCAAGAACCGTGTAGCCCTGAATTGTAATACAGTGATATAATAGTTACAGTTGCAGATAGAGGTGGAGGGAATGTTTCCAGTACACAGGAGCTGTGAGTGGGTTGAGCGGGAGGCAAAGAGCCCTTCAAGCTGCTGATGAGCATGACGCACACCCGCAAAATACCAAAACAAAAGACAGTTAATAAGCAGTGCTTTGCTTTTCTCTCTGCTTGTTTTCATATGAAGCTGCAGCAGAAGGGCTTTTCATTAGCCTTCCTCTCTTTGCTATTGAATGCACATCGGGCCCTCTGAGAGCCGTAAAAACTCGAAGGCTCTTCCAATCTAATGAATGTTTACATGTTCATGTTGCTGGGTAGGAAGTGGCTTGGCGGGTCGATGTTCCCATGTGCGGACGCCCACACAGAGACGTGTGAAAGAGACGAGATTCCTGTCATTTTTTTTTTTTTACTGGAACACGTGCAGCTGTTGGTTGTATAGATGTTTGCACATACGTGTCTGAGTGTTTACGTGTTAATAAACGTGCATGCTCATTTACAAAATGCATGTGACCAATCTTGGCCAATAATAAAAGTCAACCGTGAGTCACACATTAAAGGATATTCGAGCGATTGTATTGCACTGTGTGAATAAAATTTTAAACTATTTGGCATCTATACACAAGACAATTTAATAAGAAAAAGGTGCTTTTTCTTTTTATGCTCCTTGGGCTTGGAATGAGTTGCAAAATGTACTTAAGTTAGATGCACTTCCAACTCTGACCACTTTTAAACGTCACTTGCATACTGCTTTGAAGGAGACTTGTAATTGTCTTTCTTGATTCGATTGTATCTGCTTTGTTCAGAAACATGTTAAATGTGGAATTGTTATACTGTGATTCTGTGTGAAACTTAATGTGCTGCCGTCTTGACCAGGTCTCTCTGGAAGAAGAGATAGTGATATCTCAATGTGATTCTCCTGGATAAATAAAGGAAATAATAATAAAAACTCTTTCTCCATTTTTGCTAGCGTAGAACCCTCACCGCCGCACTAGCATCCATATTAAGCCTGTAGGAGAGCAGTGAATGGTGTCACGACCACACTTATGCAAGCTTGTTTTTAACAGGTTTCACAGCAGATGTGTAATCTAGCCTGAAGGCTTTAATTGCATGTGTAAGATGCTCCAGCAGTATCATTTGTATCGCAGATTCCAATAGTCCCACTGTGAATTTTTAAACTGCCCGAGCTCCCGCAGAAAACAATAATAATTTTAAAATTAGAGGAAAGCTAGAGGGAAAACAAAATAATGAGACTCGGATAGACACTTGTCATTCTCTTGTGATGAGTCATATGCAAGTTAACGAGATGAGTGATGTTACTGTTGCTTGTCAAAAAATCCCAAAGGAATGTGCAGAATTTCTAATGGAATTATATAAAGCCGGAAATATATATACTGTATATATATACCGTATAATATAATATTAAGAATCCCCTAAACATCTTCTAAGAATCTGAAAATTCTGGACAAATATAATCTATGATCCCTGCACACTTTTACAACTTTTTGAGTGAAACGTGGAAGCTAAAAGTTTATTTGAGAACTTTTTGATCTTGATGCGTCTCAGTGGTCTTTTTGAACTTGACTATTTGCTATTATTTATGCAACCTACAGTATTATCATTAACCAGCATTAAATTAGTGTGTTACTTATTGGCTAGATTTTTAGAAAGGGTTACAACAGTACTATAAAACGATGCCAAAAATCCCACCTGCACAGCCTAGATGATGCCAGCTAACATGAAAAGATGTTTAAGAGGTGGAGTTTGTATTAAATAATCAAAAAAATTCTTTAGAATAACACGCACAATGAATTGTGTGCTGAATGAATTAGACCAAAAAAACTTTGATTGATTATGCTGATTGGGATTGTTCATTCTGGATTCTGATTATAGTTGATTTTATTTATTTATTTATTTATTTTTAGTTTAGCTTCAGTTAACACTACCATTTAAAAGTTTGGGATCAGTAAAGTTTTTTTTTTAATTATTAATGTTTTTCAGCAAGGATGCATTAAATTGATCAAAAGTGACTGTATAGATACAGTATTTATAATGTTACAAAAGTTTTCTATTTAAAATAAATGCTGTTCTTTTGAACTTTCTATTTATCAAATAATCCTGAGAGAAAACATATAATGGTTACCACAAAAAATATTAAGCAGCACAACTACTTTCAAAATTGATAATAATGAGAAATGTTTCTTGAGCCCTAAAGCAGCGTATTAGAATGACTTCTGGTGGATCATGTGACACTGAAGACTGGAGTAATGATGCTGAAAATTCAGCTTTGCCATCACAGAAATAAATAACATTTTAAAATATATTCAAATAGAAAACAGCTATTTTAAATTGAAATAATATTTCACAATAATATAAGTTTTACTGTAAAAAATCCACCCCCAATTTTTTTTATGGTACTGCATTTCTTGTAACATTTAATTTTTTTTTTTTACTTTTATTTATTTATTTATTTGTTTGTTTGTTTAATTAGGGCAACATATAGTAAGATATAGTAAGTCTAAATGAGAAAAGATACAGACCATATGCCTGAAGCTTTCACAAACCCTGGTCCTAAAAGACTTACAAACCCTCTCCACATAGTGTACGAACATGAGAAATGTTTGACAGGATACTGAATGCCCAGCTTGGTAGCTTGAATTTCTCACAGATACAGAGACAGTCTTAAATGAATAATTCAAGAGGAAATGGTACTTCAGCTCTGTTTCAATAGAAGATGGGGCGGCAGTGGCTCAGTGGTTCATGTGGGCTGTCTACAAACCGGAAGGTTGGTGGTTCAATCCTCGGTTCCACCTGACCAAGTGTCGAAGTGTCCATGAGCAAGACACCTAACCCCAGCTGCTCCCGAGGAGCTGGATGGCGCCTTGCATGGCTGCCGTCGCCCGTCGGTGTATGAATGAGTGAGTGAATGGGTGAATGTGAGGCAAATTGTAAAGCGCTTTGGTGGCCATTGGGTCTGTGAAAGCGCTATATAAATGCAGTCCATTTACCATTTACCAAGATGATGCCCACTTCTCTTTGGCTGACAGGCTGACTCTTTATCTAAATCAAAGCCACAGGTTTATGCTAACCTAATAAAAAAGGCCCATAAAACATCTGTGTCCTCGTTTTGCAGCACTGTACA